AGAGGCCCTCCACGGCTGGGGTGAAACGCTTGCCTCATCTCCGTGGCGACAAAGCAAGCATCCCACCAGGCCGCTCATGCTGCCCACTCTCAGTGGCCACCCCCCGCCCTCCGCCCCTGGGACTGGGGGACTCTGGTGGTGCTGAGAGGATTGGGCACTGAAATCTTGTGGCTATGGGCACTACCATCTTTGTGATGGAGTGATAGTTAATTTGCATATTATCCTTTTAATTAGATTGGATATTAATTATTTGGTTAAATTCTATTATACATAATAGGGAAGTTACTGAGTAACAAACCCTCAAAGAAAAGTAATTGTCTTGCTTCTTTCCATCTGTGTGTTTGAAGGAAGTAAGATGAAGGTGTAGGATAGAGGGATGGTGCTTCATCTACATCCTTAACTCATCAGATAAGTTGGGGAATATAAAGCTAAATAAAATGTTTGTTTCCTTGATTTCAAAAAATGAATTAATTGAAGCAGAAGGGTTACTCTGTTAGATAAAAGTGCTTTAAAATCTGTGTAGTTACTTCCTGCTTTAACAATTTGTATACTTTCTGATACTTCTTTTTACACTAAGTGTCTTGGATATTTCAAGATTTTCTGAATGAAAATTCTTTCATGTTTTTCTACAATTGAAATTCTATCATTTCCACATCAATTATACTCACAACCAATTAATATGGAAAGCTGGGTCATTATAAGCATTCAATAAGATAGGCAATAAAATTTAAGCAGGTCTTGTTTACATTTCAGAGTGACTTATTTTGCCTACTGCCTTCTCCTTAATTACATTCAAATCCACAAATATTCACAAAGGTGCAAAGCACTGGAGTAGGTATGATGGGGGAAGTAAAGATAGACTGGTAATTGATGGGGTTTTATGATGTCATGTGCTAGAGGGAACCTATTCTACAAGAACTTAAAATCTAATAGGAAACAAAGTTCTATAGGCAATGATCCCTAATGGGCTGCCTAGTATTTCATGAAGCTCATTGCAATGGTAGTAAGTATGAAAAAATAGTTTGGATATGTAACAACTCATAAAAAAATACAAACATAACTAAAGATAGTGAGACTGGATTTATCATTCAAAAGAAGAGGTAGTTTTGCAAAACTCCCTTATTTATCTAGTATTATTGGGGATGAACTAGTTCTAATAGGGTTATATTTCCAAAATGTTCAAACTGATCATCGCTAAGTACTAAAATATTTTGATAGTAAACATTTTGAAGGAATAGTTTTCTGAAATGTATATTTTTCTGACTTCTGAAATTGACCATGACTTTAATCTTTGTTGATATCTCAGGGCTACTGTTTAAAAACTAACTAATATGCTGGCAGTACACTACAGTGATACCCTTAGGAACTGTTTCATGACACAGAGATGTTTTTACAAGAGAAGTCCTTCACTGATAAAATATTTGAATTAGATTTCTGATTGATTTCTTTTTTCCTGCCTCTTGCTTTGCTAGAGAGTGAACCTTATAGCTCCCTACTGTTATCCTACACCTGCCTTTTGTAATCCCCTTTCAAATTGACATATTGAAATCCCTGTGCAAAGAGAAATAAAACAAAAAGATCTGATGGGATTTTCCTTAAGAGAAAGAAATAGGCTCTGGGTGAGTACTTAAAGGGCATTTTTATGAGGTAGCTTCAGGGACTTGGTGTTCTCTATTTTGCTGCTCAGAAATTTTATTTTCAAATTCTTTGTTGTATTCTGAATAGCGAAGCTTACAGGTATATCCCATCTGAGTTAAATATGACTACATAACACTATAGCATTGCTTGCATTTCTAAATAAAGTTTTTTGAACTACTTCAAACTGTATACTAATCTTTAAAAAGAAAGTCTATGTCCTTGTTAAGTCAAAAACCTCCAATCAAATTTATTAGATCAATTATTTGGCATTTGGCATTAAGGAGTATCAATCTCAAATTCTACCATGAGAAATGCTATGGATCTACTTACTTGCTGAGAAGAAAATAACCTTTACTTATTATATTATTATGAAACAAGTAGATATTTTGCTAAAATGAAGTTAAAAAGTTTTAAAAAAACAACAACACAGCTTCGCTGTGCTTCCTAAGATGCTTTGTCTTAATAAGTTGCTGCAGAAGGGGAATAGTTCAGAAATTGCAAACATGTAAAATTCTAAATCCAATACAACTCTCTACAACTGCACAGCAAAGCGCCATAGGAAGAAATACTCCAATACTTAGAATATACCTCCATATTCTGAGCAAATGGGTCTTTTGGATCACACAATGTTGAAGATATTCGATGGTTGCCACGGAAACATCGCTGACTTATATTCTGGGGGACTGGGAATGTCTGCCGAATGATAGTTAGCCTTCCAATTGACCTTCTTACAAGTTCCTGCACATCCATGTCATTTATTTCCTATAAGATAAGAAATGGAAGAATTAGAAATGCTTTAATACAGTAACAGAAACACAAAATCTATTAATAGGTTGTCATCTGGAAATGCTAAGGGTTACTGTAATGCATTTACTTAATGCTTAGCCCTCAGCCAAAAGAAAACAACATATGCTCATTAAAATGATCAACTCATTTATATTTGCTGTTTGTGCTTACATTATATCCATTAATGCTTAAATAATTCCAAACGGGAGCAATTGACTTAAATATAGGGTGCCCCACAGAAGTGTATACACACACACTGAGTAATTATAAAGGTAGTGCTTATTAAAATATATTTAATTTTTAAAAGTGAACTATAAGCTGTTAAAGTATGTATACATTTTTGGGACACCCTGTATACTTTATTAATAGCAAGTTTATAATTTGTTATGTTGAATGCTTTAGAAAAATATGGGTTATCTACACATCAAAAAATCACAAAATATATTGCTATTATAATTCATGATTCATTAGTGTATTTCAAGGTATTTTGAGTACCTAGGAAGATAGTTGCAATGAAAGAGTAACATGTATTGTTCTTAGCCATTAAAAATGGGGCTCTTTAATAAGGCAAGTACAATGAGCAAGAGGAGATATTATTTTTAAAGAATTTTTCCAAACTATCCACGTTAACCTATAGATTTTTCTTGGTTAAAAATAAACAACGTGCTCACTAAATGTTGAATAAATAAGTTAGTATGTAATTGTGATATTAACATAAAGATGGAAAACTCTTTTGATTAACACAGAGTGAACCAGGATGAGTGAATGAAGAAATACAGTGCTTGTTATCCAAATCAATGTTATTTAGAAATGTGTTTTATACTTTCCCCTGCCTCCCAACTCCAGATTAAATTTTAGGATTTAACTCAATCATGGATGTAGGAGCAATAAAAATGAAATATTTTTATAACATACACATGTTCTAATTGGAATTAGTCAGAATAAAAGTGGTCAGAATAAATTTTAGTTTTAAGGCCGTCTTTACTAAAGCAGTTTGTACTTCCTAATGTCCACTGGAACCTCTTAAATCAATGAACCCTTTGCAATGAACTTATTCATTTCAGGAGATTCTAATCACAAAGAAATAAAAGATTTGACACAAACTTTAGAATGCAGTGAGCATTCACCAGTTTCTTCTGCTTTGTAGCATATATTAGCTTATCCATCCTTTATTTATGATCTTTATGTGATATAGATTTTCTGAAAATTAAATAACACCCGCCATCAGCTGTATCCAGTATAATGTCCTGGATTTTTGGTTGATTAACTCTTAACGTACTATTAAATAAGTGATTTTCTCAGCTTAAAATGCCATATTTTCCCTCTAGTCTGTGCCACCAAAAACTCTGTCTGGCAAAAAGCAAGTCACTATTTAATTTTCTGTCACCTACTCATAAAGAATTATACAGTATCCTTCAACATCATTTTTAGCCTTAACCTTAACAAGAAATCTTTTTTTAAAAATATAATTTTATTGATTTCAGAGAAGAAGGGAGAAGAAGAGAGTGATAGAAACATCAATGATGAGAGAGAATCATTGATCAGCTGCCTCTTGCTCGCCCCACAATGGGGACCGAGCCTGCAATCTAGGCATGTGCCCTTAACCGCAATCGAACCTGGGACCTTCAGTCCGCAGGCTGACACTCTTTCCACTGAGCCAAACCAGCTAGGGCAAGAAATCTTTTAAAGTTAACTAATATTGCTATGCAGGGTCTTTACATTTCTAAAATTAAATTTCCATATTGTGCTGACATTTTTATTTAAAGGGCAGTGAAAAAAATTGTACCACTTTTCTATAATATTAACTCTATTTTGGTGTGTGTTTTTTCTTTAACAATACTAAATTTTATCAACATTTTATCAAACAGTATCATCCCAACATGACTCTCACCATGTTGAACTATAAATTAGCACATTAGAATAAAAACTTACATTGATAAGTGACTACTATGTTGGGTAAAACACTAAGATAATATATTATCTTATTTTCTGCTGAAAACAACAAGGACTCAGGTACTGTTAGTCTCACTTTATAAATAACTTTATAAAAAATAATCTTTATTAAAAAAAAGATTCCAAGTTCTTCTTTCAAAAGTCTGTCTGTATTTACAGTATTAATTTATAAATGTCATGAAATGAGACACTCTCCAAACTAATTACTTAAACAGGGAGTTCATATTTCCTCACAAAAATTATTTGGATCAATGTCATGAATGATGGGATTTAAAACTATAAAGATATATTATTTCAGCATGTAATAGCTGAATGATTCTATAAAGGAATAATAAAGTTACCTCTCAAGAATCAAAGTCTTTAAGAAGACTATTTCAAACTCACAAAAAGGGATGACTACCTTTTATAAGTTCCCAAAACTGAAGTTCTTAAGTGTCAGAGCAACTAGAGTATATCTGAGGAAATACCAATTTGAATATATTTTGCCAATTATTATTGAGAAAGAAAAAAGAAAGCAATTTTCTTGGAGGAAAGAATCTGCCATTCTGAATGAAACTAACAGACAGTATGTCTCAAAAAATTCACTTGCAATTTTAGTTTGACACATGATTTCAAAAATAGTTTGGTATTGATATAAAACTTGATTAGGCAGCTATTTTATACTTAGAGAACTTTATTTCTGCATTTCAAAAGATGTATTTCAGGAGTGGTAGATGTAATGCTATATGAACACTGACAGCCAAGTGAATACTCAATCTATTAAGAGATCTTTTTACATGAAAAATCCATAAGTAAACTTCTTTATTAAAATACTAGAGGCCTGGTGCATGAATTCATGCACAGTTGGGGTCCCTTGGCATGGCGCACGGGGGGCGGGGATGTGTGTGTGACCACAGGAGGTTGGCTGGCTGCCCCCTGCCCCATCAGGGCTGATCGAAGGGGCCAACTGGCCAGAGGAAGGAACTGCGGAAGGTTGGCTGGCCAGGGGGAGGGACCACGGGAGGTTGGCTGGCTGCAGGAGGTTGGCTGTGGGAGCCCACTGATCACCAGGAGCAGCTCCTGCATTGAGCATCTCCCCTTGGTGGTCAGTGCACATCATAGCAACCGGTTGACCGGTTGTTCAGTCATTCAGTTGCTTAGGCATATATATATATATATTAAGCTATTATATAACCTATTAGAATTAATATCATTTAATGCTCTTTTTTTAAAATAAACTATTTGATTTTTCTAAACAGTCATGTGAAGAACTAATTCACCATTCCTTTTCCCAAGCCCCCAGTGCCACCAAACATGTCCATCTCTATAAAGTATACAGAAATTTCCCGAGTCTTAAAGCATCTTAAGAAGTGATTATAAGAATATTTACCTTTTATATATTATTTATATGAAGAGTATTTAAAAAAGAGGAATTGATATTATGATAAAAAATTGACAAATATATCGTAGTGTACCTAATTTTTTTCTATTTTACTTCTCTAGGAGCAAGGCAAACAGTGTTTTCCTCCCCTCAAAAAATAATTTACATGTATAATCAACATTATTAAGAATAAAGTCAAAATATCCAATAAAATATTCCTGTTTGCTTTCCTGTGATAGTTTAATGTGGGTGAACCCTGAACTGTGTGAGAGTGAAAGAAGAGGAAAGCTACACTATCTGGTAGGAATACAACTCCATCCAGAAACAGCCACTTTCGAGAGCAAATCTTTTAGGAAAATTGGACCAATCCTGAATCTTTGTAGGGTATCAGCTTTAGGCTTAAATTAATAGAATTCCAGGGAAGGAAAGACTCTCAAAATCCAATAGATCGGACACCAACATATCCATAAACTATTTCAGAGAAGGGGTCCCTCCCTCCTTTCTCATGCTTCTACCTTCTTTCATTTAACAAAGTTCTCAGATGGCTCATAACAGGTATCAAGAAAATAATGAAGGAATAAATCAATGGCACGTTTTCAGCAAACTGTCTTCTAAAGATAGATACCTGAAATTTTAAGTCTAGACACTGGGATGCTTTAATAACATTAACAATTCTGAATAAAGCAGATTTTAATAATGATATTGTCAGTGCACTACTATGTGGTGTTGTTGAAAAAGATTATGCTTTTTGTTGTTGTTTTTGTTAATATGTTTATATTCTTCATGCTTTAGCAAAGATGATCCTTTGATGCTTCCATAAAATTTAACATTAGTGTGAAATAATTATACCAACATTATGTGGAAGCATGGAATAAAACCAGCTGTGGGCTGTATACCAGCAGGAAGAGGAGCAGAATGGCAACTCTCTGCTTGACAGATTAGTAGTGAGCAGTTCAATTAATCACTAAACTAGAAAAAAAATGAAAAACATCCATTATACATACAAACTATACTAAATCTCAACAACTTCTTAACTGCGGAATTCAGCAGTGCTTAACAGAGAATAATGACTTAAACTATTTATTTTTATTTTTTTAACTTTATTTTTGTTGTTGACACTATCACAGATGTCCCCATTTCAATCCCCTCCCCCACTTTTGCCCTCGTCCACCCAGCTCCCTTCTCCCCCTTCCCTCTGGGCATCACCACACTGTTGTCTGTGACAATGGGTTATGCATATATGTTCTTTGGCTAATTCCTTCACCTTCTTTAATCTAGTCCTCTCACCCCCTCTAACAGCTGTCAGTCTGTCCGTTGTACCCATGCCTCTGCTTCTATTGTGTTCATCAGCTTATTTTTTTTTTGGGGGGGTACATTCAATGAGAATTTTTATTTCAATTATCCACAAAACAATATAATACTTTATAAAAATATTAAGTTTTAGGCTACCATTATTTATCTTAAAAAGTGTTTGTGCTATAAGGTTGTTTTTGCCAACTTTTTTTTTGGGGGGGGGAGGGAAGGGTTAAAAGTTCCACAATAAGATATTGAAGGTGAAAAGGTGTTGGGAGAAAATCCTCAAATATACAAAGCTGGGTATTTTTCTTGGCAAGTTAAAAATACATAACCATTTAAACTGAATACACAGTGAGTTAGTGTTATT